AAAGGAAAAATTAAGTGAAAGAAAAATTTTCCCTCCTTTCTTATTTTATTGATAACCAAATAAAGAAAATTTTTTTCCTTTCCTTCATTTTTCTTAATCTAAATATACTATTAGAGTTAGCGATTAGCAGTTTAAACTATTTAAATGAATAAAAATATTTTAATTATAAAGCATGGATTCCTTATTATGCAATTCAGTGTAGTCCAAATTGCATAACAATTTTTTCTTAAAGAATAATGTTGATTATCTACTATCTACCATATATAAACAATTAATCCAAACACCATGTTTGTCAATCAAAATGAGATGGTTGGTGGTGTCCTTTTGCTAAAGTTTAATTTGTTTGTTTTGAATATGGCATTGTGAAATAACTCAGTATAATTAAGCTCCCTATTGAACTAATAATAGTATATATAGTTGTTCATAGTCTTTATATGTCACTCATAATTGCAATTTCATTTCAATAAGAGATTCGAGACATAATAACTTGTAAGACTAATGGAATAATCAAGTCCTCAATGACAATTGGAGAGACGTTAATAACATATTTTTCACATCAAGATAACAGTAGATTTATAAGTGATATGTAATTGTTATTATCAATTATCACTAATAATTTAAGTTTAAATTTTTGAGCACCAAGCAAATCTCAACTTAAAAAGTCAGCTTCAATTAGTGTGATTTTAAATACTTTTTGGTCAATTCAACATAATTTAAATATGAATTACACAAGATAATATCCATAATTAGAAAAAGAAATAATGCCAACAGTTTAGGGTCGGTGAATCTTGATATATATATATATATATATATATTTTTTCTTTTGCTAAACATGGAAGTCTAGCGTGCAAAAAGAAGTTATAGGGCATGTTTTTCAGAGGGCATATAAGCAAATTTGCTTACAAGTTATTTGTTCAACTTAAGTGTTTCAATCATTTCTCACTTTGAAACTTATTAGATGAAAAACTTGAATTTTGATTTTGAAAGAATTAGTACGTAAGTTTTGACAAAGATTGCTGATACTCTTACCAAAACTTGCTTAACTCACTTTAAAAGCAAAATTCAAGTTTTCACTCTTGTAAGTTTTTGAATTTAAGAGAAAACAAATTACTTATAAGTAAATTTACTAATAACCTCTGTCAAACAGGCCATAAATCTCCAAACCCCCATTTTATTCAAACACCATAGAACATTTTAGTAATATGTTGAGATTGGCTGAAAGTAGCACGGAGTGAAAACAATGTTGATGAAATGCAATATGTGAATTCCTCCATTATTATTTGGGTATAAATAATTCTAGTAAAATACACTTATCAGTTAGGATGATGTGATTTGCATATGTTCCTGGGGCTAGTCAAGCTAAATGTCCGGATATAGATGCTATCTATGGAAAATTCATTGTTAAAATTTACATTTGGTTTTGTTAAAAGGAGTTAGTTCAAAACTTTAGGAAAAAATCCATAAAATAAGTTACTTCGTGGGCTAAAGTGGAGTTTTTCCTATATTTTTCTTGGCTTCTAACATATAATCCCATGTCGTATGGGAGCGACATAAACAATACTTTTTTGTAATATTATATTTAAAAAAATACATATTAATTTTGATT